AACATCTTCAGTATCCTGCTATGCTTACACATTATGTGTGCGCCTATATAAACAACTGTATTGTACTCTGCTCTGGTAACTATTGTCCATGATGTAAATAGGTAATAACTGTGCTTCTGTTCTGTGTCCTGCATTGTTTGTATATGTGTGATGTTGCTGCTGACACAACCAAATTTCCCCTTGTGGGACTATTAAAGGATTATTCTATTCTATTCTATTCTATGTTACCATTACCTGCCTTTTTTTATCGCTGAAAGTTTTATTCTAGTTTTTTTGCTATATTTTATTCTATTTTTAATCTTATTATTCATGTTATATGTAGCACATTAGTACCGAAGCAAGTTCCTAGTTTGTGAATTGTTTGTTCACTGACAATGGCAATAAACCTATTCTGATTCTGGTTTGTCCTGCCGTGTCAGGAAACTGCTGCAACTGACCTGTAGTCATTTACAATCCAACTTCAGGCATTCTGAAGTCTGTTTACGTCCTACAGGACTGATGAGCTAACAGCCAGTTGAGGCGCACCCCTGATCAACATGTCTCTTTATCCTAAAGAGCTCCTATCCACCAAACTTCATAGTGGGTCATGTGAATTTATTTTATAAACTTTTAAACTAGTAAATAACTTCTGGATTTGGCCATTGGAGAGATCAGACATGCATTCCTTTGCAGCTGCTGTTGCTATTTATGCTAGAAAAAGCACACACCAGTGGTAACAAAGCAACACTTATTGAAGTTTAAAGGTTAAAAATAAATTACATGAAATTTTTGCTAATTAAGGAGTTTAGACCTTTTGGTCTTGAGAGCACTTAAACTAGCCATTAGCTCATCAGTGCTAAAGGACATAAAAGCTATTTTTACAAATAGAAGCCATTCAGGGAGCTTTCTAGAGTGTGCAAGGTGATAATTATTTACAACTTTTATAGAAATAAATTAACGGTGTTGAACACTTTATACTAGGGGTGTAACGGTTCACTGGTGGGGGTGTTGAACCATTTCATATCAGCCTGTTCGGTTCGGTCCACTTGCGTACTGTTTTGATTTATTTTTTCCGTTAATTAATGAATTTTTATTTGCGTGAGTTCCTAGGCGAGTTTCCGCACGGACGCTGTATTGAGTGACGCATGATGGCTGCATGCGCCCGATCTCTGTTGAAAAAATGTGATCTGCAAATTCTGATCAACGCCTTTCAGAGCGGATCAAACCAGCTGGCTGTCGCTGCTACTGGAGCCTGTAGAGACGCTGAACGGAGCGTCGCCCCTCCCTCCCTTCTCTCACACACTGCAGGCATGCAGCGACAAAAATGTAAACAAACACATCTGCTGAACTTCCCCCTCTGGGACAACTGTTGTAAAGTTTTCATCCCACAAAGAAAATACGGTGCGGAGGAAGTTCGTTTCAAAGAAGAAACTCTGGGCGGTGTGAGGTGGGTTTTTAAGGCTCGCTGCAGAAATAAAAACACGGAGCATCAACAGTCAAACACAACACTTGTCTGCATGAGCGTGACTCTCTTTGCTGCACAAATAACCTGTGGAATAATTAGACATCATGCTAGATCAGCAGCCTGTGATGACACCTGGTTCTGCTCACTCCACTCTGCTCCTCCTCCAGAGTGGAGTCGATGCTAGTGTGAAAGGGCTACATTTTCATGTTGGGCCTGCATGAAAAACTCAGAGTGACTGAATATAATCAGAAATAATCATTTAAAAATGGGTTTTCAGTGGTCAACACCTTTAAAGGCCGATAGTCATCACCACACACTTGCGAAATTACATCTCCACATTTGACGCATCCCCATAGAGAACGGTGAGCTGCACTGGGGGAACTATTTGGTGGTTTAACCCCCAACCCAACCCCTTAAAGCTGAGTGTCAAGCAGGGAGGCATTTTTAAGGTCTTTGGCATAACCCGACAGGGTTTGAACCCAGATCTCCCAGTCCCAGGGCTTTAGCACTAGGCCACTGGGAAGGACAGAATATAAATAAGTTATATAATTGACTGGGTCAGCGTACGTATGGCCAAATAATTTAATTATTTAGGTTTGTATAGAAATCAGATTAATTAAACATGACTACTCATTGTGATTGAGAAACTTTAGTTCATTTAAGGAGTTTGCAGGCACAAATAATACGATTAAATACTATACTATGGTTAGGTCTACTCATGATAAAATATTTCAAATATATACATTTTGTAACATTCATTCATCAGTTAAAACACACATTCAAATCAGGTAAGTAATGTTTGTCTACTGGTTTTTCTACCATACAGACAGTTCTGCTATAAAAGCAAAGAAGACCTGTACTGGGAGGTCAATATCCAAGCAGGCAGTCAGTTAACATAGTATTATTTTTTCCTTTGCAGAAACATTGATGTTTGGAAATATCACAGGGGAAATATTGAACGCCATGCCACATGACGTTTGGGGATTATAACTGAAAATAAAGGTTATTTCTGACATGTGTTATGCTGCGCGTTTTAAAAATTGAAATACAAATTTGTTTCATTGAATGCCCCAACAATCTATACCCAGTGATACTGAAACAGCCGGATGCATGATTTTAAGTGTTTTTCCGCACAAACATTGTTTTTATTCCACCAAACGTTTCTTTGATCTGTGATCTGCAGTCAGCCTTTAGTGGTGACTCACAGTTTGACATCGGACCAAAACGGTACTTTAAAGAGCACCTGGTAGAATCTGCAAAAAAACATCTGCAAAGTGGAGTTTTAAACATGTGAAACCAGGTGGAAATCTGAGGAAAGGGAACAAAAGTTCAACACGGTTTCAACAGGATATAAACAACAGGAAGCAGTGGGACAGCGGGTTAAAATCAAAGCAGACAAAGAGTGACCTGGCTCACAATTAGTGAACCGACTAAGGTGACGTCCAGCTTAGACAGCGTTTTACATGGACATCTAAAAAAAGACCTTGGGTGGCTGAAACAGCTAAACGTGACAACATATTTTGAAAAAAGTGAAGGCGTCAGATGAAAAAAAGAGCCATTTGTCGGCTTTAGATCCCAGGTAAAAGGGCTCTTACATCACAACATGAAAGCTGCTGTCAGGCAGACGTCTGAGAGCGTGCCATGTAGGGACATAAAATGTTACAAAGATGGGTTTGATTTGAATTAGAATTACGACAAGTCACTTCGATCCAGCAGCTCCAACCCAAAGCCCGTGGCTGAATATTTTTAAATATATTTTTTTCATCCTTTCTGACGGGTAAAAAATGTCAAGTTCTTGGCAGTGATGGTTACTGACTTTGATGGTTCACTGAAAAGACACTCCAAAACAATACCTAAGGTTATATGGCAACATCCATGCCACTTCCTCTGGACTCACATCAATTTCCTCTTGGTGTGCTCATCCTGTCACCTGATCTTTCCTCTGCCTAGCCAGAGATTTCCACTTGTGTGCACCAGGGCTGAGGTAATTAAAGCTCTCCTCATTGAAAATGACTCAGGTCAAGTGAGGTGATTTAAATCAAGTCACTTTGGTTCGTATGAAGTCATTTGAACGCTTGAAATAATCTGAAATGACTCCTTGAGCTGATGCAAGGTGAGTCAACAGGACGCTGTATAAGGCTTGCAAGAACTAAAGATGACAAAAATTCTAAAGCCTGCTGAGTTTTATATTTTATGGTAAAATAAGATTTGGAGAGATGCCTTCAATACAGGTGAAACTCAGAAAATTTGAATATCGTACGAAAGTCCATCTGTTTCAGTGATTCAATTTAGACCACTGGGCCGTTCAAGCAGGGGCGCTTAGCTATCCTCTACCCATTTACCCCCACCAGCTTCGATGATGGGACACAAGCCAGCCTAGACAAAACCCCACTTGCTTTTTCTGAGTTGGCCCAGTTATCCCAGGAGGACACACTCTCTCAGAAGGCATCTATGGGACATCCTAACCACAAGCTTAAACCACCTCAGCTAGCTTAGCCTCATCCTCATCTCAAGTGGTCCACTAGGCAACTCACATTCCATTCTCAGCTCCAAGCCAGAAAACCTGGCTTCCTACACACATAAGTTCAGAAACAAGATGAGATCATTTCTGGTGCCAGACTTCTAATTATTTGAATTAATATTAAAACTGTGAGACTCTGTGCACCAGCTATCCTGAGGAACACTCTGGAAGGAAGCAACTAGATGGTTTGATTAGTCTTAAGCCCCTTTGTCCAGGTTTGGGGACCGATTTGCACATCTGGATCCACTACGGGCCTCGAACAGTTTCCTCTGGCTTCACCACCCCAGGCATAGTTCACCACCTTTTCTAGTCCTACCGCACAAGTGCAAGCTCAACCTCCCTAATGGTCTAAGCAAGACGGGCCGGTGGTACACCCAACACCCTTCTCCGTGCCACTCACCGATGTCTGAGCTCCTCACTTTATCCCTAAGGCTGAGCTTTGCCACTCTGCAGAGAAAACTTTTGGTCAATGACAAAAGCTCATCACCAGTAAATCACTGGCTTTGATTTCTGGCTTTCCTCAGTCTTCACCACAACAGATGCTCCCTGATCCACCTGTCCACCATTCCCTCTATTTTTCAATCCAAAAACAAGATACCTAAACTCCTCCACTTGAGGTTGGACGGACCTCTCCCTGGATCTGGAGTTATAGCAATCCGCCTTTTTCCTGCTGAGAACCATCACTCTCAGATTTGGACTTGTTCATCAAAACAATGTCAGCTGCGTCACACTGGCATGCTGCCATATTCTTTATTCTCTTTCAAAAATATTTTAATAATTGATTCTATGGATTTCTTTCCAGTCTTGTTAATTTACAACCTTTTCTTCAACACTAACAATCTAAAGGTGATGCTTATGCTGGAAAACCTGATGCTAAGCTGGTGTAATGATTAAAAAATGTTCTGATGTTTCACCATGTTAAGTGACTCATTTGAGATATTTGTGAACACTAGCACTAGCGAGCTAATGATTAAAATGCTGACGAGTCGTTGTAAATGGGCATGAGGAATGTGCTTAAGAATGTGAAATACATACTGTAGGGCACACATTCGTACTGGACCTCTAGGTATTTGTAGGTTCCTGGGCACGGGTCAGGAAACACGTCTGGTCCGGCCACAACGGCACACTGGGTCCTGTTGTTACATCTGAAACAGAAAGATATAAAGAACACAGTTTTAATAACACAGCAAATCTGTAGCAAACTTTTTGATCAAGTCTAGACTTGCAAGCTTGCTTCCAGTCGACCGATGCCTAAAGCTAGAATCCAATACACATCTTTCACACTTTTTACACATTTAAAAAAGCCTTTCTACTCTTTCACACCCACAAAGCACTCTATGTGTTTTTGATCAAAGGCTAATCAATACTTTTTTATGTCAATTAAGGGACATGATCAAATAAATGACAAGATTGTTGAAATGAACCAAAGTCAACTGAATGCATCAAACTCCCACCAGAGAAGCAGTTTAAAGAGTGAAACACACAAACCAGTTGGTGGCAGTAATGCACCAACTTCCTCTGACAAGTTTACATCTGGGGCCCAATCTCAATGCTCGCACTTGCACACGTGTGCCCTTCATTTGCGCGTTCCCGGCCAAGGGTGCGAGTGCGTAGGGTGTCCCGATTCTCAAGTGTGGAAGTTGACCACGCCCCCATTGCACCCTTAATCTGCACTTTACCCAAGTCCGCAGCGGTGCAGACCTCAAACAAGGGAATTACGCACAAGTCATTGCTGCGGGAGAAAAGGCTCAAGTTCCTTTTCTGAAAATATGTATTTTCTAATAAAATTAGTTCATTTTAGGACAATTATTTGATGCTCTGAATGGTTTAGACAAAGCAGCAATGCAGTTAAATTTATTTCAAATAATTGTTTATTGCTTGTTTGAAAGTTGTTAATAAAGGTTTTTGAAAAAAGATTCACAGCGACCACCATCACGGCATGGGTTGCAATCGATGACGCAATGCTTCCTGTCTCAATTTGGCTATTATTTGCACACTTGTGTACAACACACTCGAGGCCTACTGCACACTTTCTCCAAGTGCACTTTGCTGAAGACCGCAGGGCGCAGTGCGAGTATTGAGATTGGGCCTAAGTCGCTCTATGGCAGTATTTCTCAATTAGTGGGGCGCGCGCCCCTGGGGGGTGCAGGTGGTTATCTGGGGGGGGGGCGAGATGCAGAATTCTTTTTTTTTGCATAATTTGTTCAAAATGGAATGCTAAACCACCCCAGCCACTAGGTGGCAGCAGTGCTCTAACTAATCAATAAGCTGCCCTTTTAACCCAGCAGAAGAAGACCGACCACAAGCACACACACACACACACACACAAAAACGGGTGCCCCAGTGTGCAGAGTGAGCGTGCTGATGGAGGAATAGAGATGTAGAAGTTTATGACGGTGGAAAGAAAATCGGCAGAGACGCAAGAGGAAAGGAGTGAAAGTAGCCAGCAAAAAAAGACCAGAAAATGACACAGCCGACGTAGCGCTTGGATTTACCGTGAACACGGTCGGAAATGAAGAAAGACCCATTTGTGTTTTCTGCCTAAAAACTTTGGCAGCCGACAGTATGAAACCTAACAAGTCAACCTTACACCCCACTTATATTAACAAGCCCCTGGACTTTTCCACCAGCTAAACTAAACGTTTTCATACAAAACAGAAAAACATGCAATGAACTACGTTTTTGCAGGATAAGTGTTTTATGTGGTAAAACTGATGTAATCGACAGTTAGAAAAGTTTCAGAGTTCAAGGCTTTTTGAACTCAAAATCTTGAGAAAAAGTCAGTGTGAAGGTTATGCACTTTTCAGCTCTACTTATAAGTTAAAATATCATTACTATTGTTTAATGTTGGCAGAAAAAATGTTAAATGTAAAAAAATTATATGAGGTTTTGAAAAAGAATGACATGTTTCAGTGGACAGCTAATGTTTACAGTTAACAAAAAGGTTTTGAATGAGTTTTTTTTTATCTTTTATTTTCATTTATTGACATTAAAATAAAAATACAATCAGAACTAAATTGCTGCAAGCCAAAATGAAAAAGGGGACAGAAAGAAGAAAAACTTATGTTGTCTGCCCCTTTTAACTAAAATAGCATTAAAACAAATGAAATAATCATATGATTCTTAAGGAAATTGAACAATATAGTTCCTGGACTTGTTGGCCGACAAAATCTCAACCCATGAATTTGAGAAAAAAATAGAAAAAGAAAACAATTTACACAGAAAGAAGCATTAAGTTACAGATCTATATACATACATATATACACATACAAGCACATACTAGGTTAATATTTTGTTCCTTTAATCCCCCCCACCCCCCTCCCCTCACACATTTATGTAACGGATCTATATAAGTTAATCGTTTTATTTTTTATCTCTTTTTTGAAAGTCAATATTGTTTTTGCATTCTTGAGTTCAGTATTCAATTTATTCCACAATTTAACTCCATATATGGAGACACAATGTTCCTTTACGAGTATCCGATGTCTAGGTATGTTAAATAATTCATGTCCCTTTAAATCATATTTGCTATGTCTTTTTGAAAATCGTTTAATTAATCCTGCAGGTACGTTCCTTTTGTTTGCATTATACATAAATTTTAAAATATTGTAGTCCACCAGATCACGGAATTTTAGTGTTTTTAATTTAATAAATAATGGATTGGACGGATCTCTGTAGTTGCTCCTTGTGATTATTCTTATTGCTTTTTTCTGTAAGATGTAAATGGAATTTGTGTAAGTTTTATATGTTGTTCCCCAGATTTCAATGCAGTAGTTCAGGTATGGTACGATCAGTGAGTTATATAACAAATATAATGAATTATTATCAAGCAACCCTTTTGCTCTATGTAACAGTGCAATCGTTTTAGATATTTTAGTTTTGACACTGTTTATATGTAGTTTCCATGACAGTTTTTCATCAATGATGACTCCCAGATACTTGACTTCTTGAACTATTTTAATATTAATCTCATCTATATTTAATAAAATTTCATCATTTGAATTTGTATTACTAAATATCATAAAACAGGATTTATCACTGTTTAATGATAGTTTGTTTCCATCAAACCATAGTTTAATTTTTTTTCATCTCTGTATGTATCACTTCTATCATCTGCTCAACATTATCTCCTGAATAGTAAAAAGTTGTATCATCTGCAAATAAGGTGCATTTTAATATATTGGATGCCTCAACAATGTCATTTATATAAATGATAAATAGTTTAGGGCCCAATACCGACCCTTGTGGTACACCACAAGTAATGTTATTTATATGTGATTTTGTGTTGTTTATTTGAACATATTGCTGCCTATCGGTAAGATAACTAGTTATCCATTTTAGGGCCATCCCTTTGATGCCATATTTACAAAGTTTTTTAATAAGAATTGTATTATCCACTGTATCGAATGCTTTTTTTTAAATCAATAAAGATACTTATGAGATGATTTTTTTTGTCAAGGGCTTCCGATATTTCTTCTGTTAATTCCATTAATGCCATGGATGTTGAATGATTTGTTTTAAAACCATACTGACTGTCATTTAATATCTCTTCATTGATCAGGAATCGGTCCAACCTGGCAATATATAATTTTTCTAATATTTTTGAGAATTGTGACAATAAAAATATTGGTCTGTAGTTGGAAAAGATATGTTTGTCTCCACTTTTATGAAGTGGTATCACTTTTGCAATTTTCATCCTGTTAGGAAATGTCCCTGTTGCAAAAGATAAATTACATATGTAAGTCAATGGATGAATAATACTTTCTATTATATTTTTTATTAATGTTATGTCTAAACCATCACAGTCAGTACTTCTTTTATTGATGCAATTATTGATAATATTTCTTATTTCATCACTAGTTACTGGACTTAAATATATACTGTTTTATTGCTTTTGATATTCTCACCTATACTATAATTTGTTCTTTTTGGAATGTTTTTTGCCAGGTCAGGTCCCACATTAGTAAAAAAATTGTTAAATTCATTTACTATTTTACTGGTTTCACTAATTTCAGACTGTCCGTTTTCAAAATAATTTGGAACAGTTGAAGCTATTTGATTTCTTTTTATGACATTATTTATTATTCCCCAAGTTGCTCTAATATTATTTTTGTTTTCTTCTAATAAATTGCTATAATATTCCTTTTTTTGTCTTTTGATTATAGAAACTAATTTATTCTTATATTTTTTGTATTTCCTTTCTGCTTCACTTGTTCTTAGTTTTAAAAAACATCTATATAATGTATTTTTTTTCTTACAGGCGTTCAGCAGCCCTTTTGTCATCCATGGTTTGTTCATCCTCCCTCTTTGTGTTTGAGTTTTTGTTTTACAGTTTTTGTCATATTGACTACATAATATTCCTATAAAAGAATTGTAAGCCATGTTTACATCATCAACATATACTTCTTCCCAGTTTTGTTGTTCCAGATCTCTTTTTAGTGCGTCTATAGCATTTTGTGACCTGTCCCTTGTAAGTTTTTCCATTTTTTGTTGATTTTTGATCTGGTGATTTTTATAGACTGTGAAAATTGGCAGATGATCACTGATATCAGTCATCACTATTCCACTTCTCTCTATCCCTTCTGAAGCATTAGTAAATATATTATCTATAATTGTTGAGCTATGCGCGTCAATTCTTGTTGGTTTGGTTATCAGTGGAAACAGACCCAGTAGATACATTGAATTTATGAAGTTGTTTGCTGTCTTTGAATTGTTTACATTTTCCAGGTCAACATTAAAGTCCCCACAGAGAAATACATCCTTGTTACAGATTCCGCTCAACATCTCAGTAATTGTATTTGTACATGTTTCTACACAAGATCCAGGTGCTCTATAGATACAACTTATTATGTTTTTTGTCTTTTCAGAGATTATTTCAATAGTGATCATTTCCATGACATCTTGGATGGCTGTTGACATGTTATGAATGACTTTACTTTTTAAATTGTGACATACATACAGTGCAACACCACCTCCTCTTTTATTATTCCGATTCATAAAGTACATTTCATACCCCTCTATTTGTACCTCCTCCTCATCTCCTTCTTTTAACCATGTTTCTGTTATAGCAATGATTTGAAATGGTTTTTTATTTTGTGTTAAATAATCCAATATTTTAGAGTAATTGCAATACAAACTTCTACTA